TATGCATCTCGCAATTTTCGTTCCCTTTCCGTGCTTTTCGAATTTTTTCAATGAAACGACTACTCTAAACCATTCTTTCGTCATTTCCTCATACTCCCTTATGAATTTGGGGGTGAAATGGGTTTCGCAGACCGTGTGGATAATTTAATCTATAGTTTTATACATAAACCTAGAACTGAAAGACCAACCTGTGATAGCAACGGTTGAATGCATCTTGAAAGCGCAGTACATTAGCCATGAGGAAATCCAGTAAGGATTGTATGCAGGCGACTATACTACACATTCGTATGCATCTCTTTTAGTCTCTAATCTTCTCACAACGGTCACATGCAAGTATAGACAAGCTGGCATGACGCTTGTGCGCATACCAGTTAAGTGAGCTTATATTTCTTAACAAACCGACTCTAGGCGGCGATATAGTTAGTTATTCACCAGTAGAATAAATCACGTATTTTCTACGGAACAGTACTTCTAACTAAGTCTTACTTCCGGGTTAGCTAAAGCCAGTCTAACAGATTACAAATTTTGACTGAACAACATGGGAGTCGGACCATTGAAACTTCGCTCGTCTAAATTTGGAAACTTAATTTCACGAGTAATCTTCACATGAAATATGATTGCATTAAGCAAATATATCCCAGCAACTGTAGGTTCACAGGTAATGCAACTTATGCAGGCATATCACGTGAGTTGGTCACGTGCGGTAATAGTAATAATATTTTTAGGTATATTTCTCATCGAGTGCGAAACTGTGGCCATATTCGGCGCACATCATATTTTACAGAATATCTCACGCTCATGCAAGAATGGTAAGCATTTAAGTGATTTTCATAGCCTTTGCTGTTTCAGCGGTTTGTATTAACTCACAGGTTTGCTTCCACGCAATGGACACTAGTTGAAATAGTGGTTGGTAACAGCACTAGAGGTGTGTCACAACGTAGGAATTTTTTTAATCATTAGCTTTTGCCTGGCTCTTTTTGGTACAACTCATCAACTGATCTCTCCCAAGCGAATGAGCAAATAATCAAGAAAGCAATTTTGCGAAGACTACTCTTTTCAACAATTCTCCTCAGGCATTTACAATTATAATATCGAAAGGCAGAACACAAATGGCTGATGAAGGCAAAGAGACGGGACTAGTGGAATCCCGACAAACAAAAACGCAAAAGTCTTGATAAATAAAGTCCATTAACAACACATGTGACAGAGCACTTGTTGGTTGATCGGTGGAATGCCAAGCGCATCATCCGACCACTGTAGGCGCACAGAGTGATAAAAGTTGGTAGGCTAACTAGGGCCAAGGTAGAAGAAGCTCTTGCAGCAAAGCCTTCTGTTTGCATAAGTCCGGTTGAATTATTCTAATTGCGATCGCTTCGGCCGTCACTAAGATTTGCTTCCTAAGTCTTTTAGTGTACCATGGCTGTACTACATAGAGTATTGGAAGACATCAGCGGTCCTAATTCGGTGTCCGGTTTCCACCAGATGTTCCAGGATGGAACTGTTGAGGTGACTGACGATGCCTTTCCTCAAAACATAAACCACAAGTCCCTCTGCGTCCGATAATCGACATGTCAGCCTCGGCTACTCATTCGGTTTCGAAATGGCTTGCGGGTTTGCTCAAACCAGTACGCAAGGAGTTATGCATATACACCGAGAAAGACACATTTGAATTTGTGAAACGAGTAGAATGCATGAAAGTAAAGCACAAACTGATGCTTTCTCTGGACGTTGAGTCACTTTTACAGATGTTCCATTGATGGAAACTGTCAATTTTGCATATGATTACATGAATGAAAAGAACACAGATGTGGGTATTCCGGTGAGGAAACTGAAGGAATTAATTTTAGGTTGTATCTTCAACAGACAATTTTTATTTAATGTAGTCTACTACGGACAGATTGATGGTGTTACGATGGGATGCCCCTAGGACCAATCTTTGCTGATATTTTTCTCGCTATGATTGAGCGTGAAGCTATACGACCCATCATCGCTTCGTTTGATTTCTATTGTCGTTATATGGATGATACGTTTATAATCTGCGATTCAAACACCAACGTTTCCAACCTGTTAAACCAGTTAAACGGTGTTCATCCATTCTTGAAGTTTACTATCGAAACCGAAAGAGATAGTAAACTAGCTTACTTGGATGTGTTGCTAAACAGAAGAAATGATGGTTCATTGGAGAGAAGCGTATTCCTGAAGGCCACCTGAGTACGCCAATGTACACATTTTCCGAACTTTGTACCCTTGAGGTACAAACATAATCTTGTTCGCTGCTTATGTTTTCGTGCTATGAAAATTTGCAGCCATGAAACGCTAGAGACCGAAAAGATCCGTATTCGCAAAACGCTGCAAGATAACGGTTATCCGACACCATTCATCAAAAAGTATGCAGTGATCCGCGATAGCCGTGAAGTGATTACTACAGTCCCAAAGAAGGACTTCTTTTTATCAGTTCCTTTTAAAGGCGAAGTTGTCTTTGATCTATTGATTAGAAGAATTTCCAGCGCAGTGGCTCGAACATTCAGAGACGCAGGCCCACACATCCTTGTGGAAACAGCTCCCTTTATAGCCCAACACATTAACGACACACTTCCGGTACAGTCCCAATCTTACATGTTAAGTCAGTTTATCTGCGCCTGTGGTTCGAGATACGTGGGGCACACAACCAGGCATCTGTCTAAACGCATTGCGGAGCACTACCCAACGGTTTTGCGGAAAGGCATCGTCAGTCGCCTCAACAGTTCCATCCTGGAACATCTGGTGGAAACCGGACACCGAATTAGGACCGCTGATGTCTTCCAATACTCTATGTAGTACAGCCATGGTACACTAAAAGACTTAGGAAGCAAATCTTAGTGACGGCCGAAGCGATCGCAATTAGAATAATTCAACCGGACTTATGCAAACAGAAGGCTTTGCTGCAAGAGCTTCTTCTACCTTGGCCCTAGTTAGCCTACCAACTTTTATCACTCTGTGCGCCTACAGTGGTCGGATGATGCGCTTGGCATTCCACCGATCAACCAACAAGTGCTCTGTCACATGTGTTGTTAATGGACTTTATTTATCAAGACTTTTGCGTTTCTGTTTGTCGGGATTCCACTAGTCCCGTCTCTTTGGCTTCATCTTTCATTTGTGTTCTGCCTTTCGATATTATAATTGTAAATGCCTGAGGAGAATTGTTGAAAAGAGTAGTCTTCGCAAAATTATGTTCTTGTATTTGCATGGGTATAACTTACGGAGCTGAAAATCATGTTCAAATCTAGGTAATTGGTGAGCTTAACACGAAAGGCCGTTGCGCCCTCACACGATCTGATTGTTACTGGGTGCTTATTCAACAGGACAGCATATCTGATAAGGGAAATGTTGAACCGCAGGGTAATCCTGCACCTGGGTTTACTCGTGGTAAATTCCTTATTGCGTAGCTCTCTTGTCGAACTATGTTGTAATTCTAGGGAGGGCAAATAGCAGTGTTCATTTTGATGAACCATGTCGCACAGAAGCATCAGGTTATGTCTCAATCCTCGTAGCCGAAGAGGATCGAGCTGGAATTGTCGGTAGAGATTCCGGTAGTTGTTAATGGGATGTTTTGCCTAGCAGACGTTTGGTAAATGATCTATGTATGCTTTCCAGATATACTCTGTCAGATTTCCTCATGCTGCCAGAAATAATACTGCAGTATTCCAAAATGGGGCGAGTGACTATTTTGAAGAGTTTTACTCTGGCTGGGGTTATTTGAAGCTTATACAGTATATTAGCCATTGATTTTCTGGCCCTAGCGAGCTGTTATTCCACTTGTTTAGAGTAGTTGAGGGTGCAAGAATATCTGATTCCGAGATCTTGGGTGGACAGCTGTACACAAATGTGTTCAACGTTGAGTGTAATTGATCCCTTGGGTATCGAACAGCCGCGATACAACGGTTTGTAATAACAGTAAAACACCTTAAGCTTTTGCATCAGCTTCATTTATAACTAAGGCATAAGGTTGCAAAAAACAATCTTGTCTCTGTTGGCAACCCCCTTTCGGTCGCTTCGAACATCAATACTGAAAAATAATTCTCCAGCTGCCACACTGTAGGTAGTCCGTTAACCGCAACGGCCTTGCGTGCAATGCACATCAACGCAGCAACAGGAGGTGCTGACAGACATTGGCTCCACACAACTCAAAAATCTAGTTTGCACGCAAAAGATGACACACAACTTTCGCGTGCTATCAATAAATTCTTCTTTCTTGCAGTACCTCGCGAGTGAGTTTGACTTCAAAATGACTTCTGGTATTGAGAGCACTGGTCCTTCCTTTTATGATAATGACGTTGTTGAGTATCCGTTCGGACAAATAAGGTAATGTTCATTATTATGTTTTGCACGAAGAACGCAGTTTTATCGCTGGTTAGTCGAGCAACCTTTCCGTAGTGCCAGCTGGGTAGTTAGGGTATTTCCCGTGCCAGAAAATGATTCGGCGCCAGTGTTCCGGGACGTGGTGGGTTTTCACCTGTCAAGCCTTCTCTATAAAAAGTCACAAATGTCCGTTGAACAATACTGTGACGTGGTGGATGTGACTTGCCACTAACGAAAGTCACTGCCTCTTACGTATACAGTTGATCTAACCTAATCCACAGACATGAGTCATCCAATACGAATATTTCATTTCACTCCTTCTCACACCTGACCGAAATCAATCACAAATATGGCGTCACATTCACCTTTTCAAGCAACACAACACCACTCGTTTTTATTTACATGCATTTATACATACTTGACGCATGGATCCATATGTTACTTAGAACCTTGTGCCGCTTTTACATATACCAGTACTTGTGGCGTATCATGTTCATGCCCATGTAGGAGTGTCTCGCATTGTCGAGAACAAAACATTTATTTATTTACTTGAAACTGGAGATTGGAAGACATGCTTGTTTACGTTAACCAATCAGGTGTAAGTAAGTATTTGTGACCATATAAATACTGAATGTTGAATACAGATGACGCTTGACATAATTATGCGTCTTCCCTTTATTGTCCTTATCCTGATCCACACATGTGCTGGAGAGTGGCTAGAAACGGTGTTTGATGAGGAACCAGTTCCACTCTTAGTACAAGTCTTTGAGGAAGTGGATATCAGCGATTTACCTAAAACTCTCAAAGCTCTCAAGAAGTCCTTAACGTATATGCATGACAACCTAGAGGCGGTAAATTTGGACGGCCTCATAGGTCCACGAATAGCAGAGAGTGAGTTACTAAGTCTGCGTTTTTTGCTTGTCTATCATTGTAGCGCGAAATTATATGCACAACAAAATTTTCGTCGTACTGACGAATTTAAGCCAGTGTGTTTCCCTGTTAGTGAATGTGATACTATTGGATCTATCCCCAGTTTGTGAAAGATATCCAATAAAACGACTTTGATGGGTACATGTTTAGCATTAATCAATAAAATTCCGTTCCACAACAAGCAGGAAGCGCATCAGGATCGTTTTGAATACTTCTTCTTGATGACACGTTTTAGCTTACTGCAGAACGGTAGCTATCATTCCACCATAGTAAACAGGTCACAGAGCACATCTGATATCACCTTGCAAAAGAAGCGTACTTCTGGGCTCATTTCCTTTACTTACGTTGGCATGGTGCTTTGCGAAATTGCGTTTTTACCTGTTACATTGTTTCTGATCCGTTTTTATAATACTGTCTTGCACTGGGAACAGCCCACTGGAACTAACTTCCTAACATTTAATCTTGTGAACATTTCGCAAATGAGCTAAAAGACGATGATCAAAGATTCCATTAGGATGATTATGATAATTAGCTCAGGTGAGAACACTGGGACGTAAATAAAACGCATGCTGCTAAACTCATTAACACAGAAGTAAGTGCTCTTTCAGGTTTAAGAGAACTTTTCTCTGGGTTTGTTTTGCGCTAATACTGTCATTCGATGGGCCCGGGCTTTAGCAAGTTCCGCAAATTTGGCCGTGTGTCATCAAGTTGTTCTTTCAATAGTGATACCGTGGTGGCTTTAATTACTTGCGGCGGGAAGGTGTTCAGGGCTGTGGCACTCGGAGAGAACACAATCGTCGCCCATATTCTACTCGGCTGAACTATGTGGCCAGCTTAAATTGATGGCCACTCAAATATGTGTTTTGACCGAGTTTCATAGATAATGACCAGAGTGGCCGTGGTTTTAAGAAGTTGTGACACCACCATGAGATTGCTCGGTAGACACCGATGACATCCACTGCACATACTAGAGCTTTTAATCTGAGTTGGTAAGAGTTGAACTAGCACTTTGGGTTCTTTGTTGCCATGCATTGAGCTGTCTCGAACAAGGTGAGATGATGCTTCCGACAGAGCTGGTATGCTTGGATACTGTAGTTCCCGTGTGGTCTTGCGTAAGTAAAAAGCATTTACGAAGACTTAATCGTCAACATTGTCGAACACCATTCTGAAAGGCCAAGACACTGATTTACTTTTTTCGATACTCTTTGGTTCTTAAGTGAAGACAAACTTTACGGATTGTAATGCCGTGATGACTAGACTGAGTTAAATCAGAAACAAGCCGTAAAGTTACTTCTAATCTACCATCATATAAGTTTTCCCATCGACTTAACTCATATTGCAACTAAATTTTCAGCCTCCGTGCCAAGTGGCTGCATGCAGATCACTGAGGATATTGGCAGTAAAATTAAACGGCATTAAAAGACAACCTGATGGTCGATGAGGCTGAGTGACTGTTGGTTGAAACAGCTTTCCATCTAAGCCTAGTTCCAAAGCGAAAGTCATTGTTATTCAGTACAAACAATGATGGATGTTGGAATGCCACGCTACACATTACTAGCAAGTGCCAAAGAGAAATCCGCCGGTGTCTAACACCTGGAATGCGAGATGGAACCGCTTGAGTTTCGAAAGCCTCCTCAACGCTCTGTAATTTGCAGAGCACAATGTCAACTTTGTTCGGTGATGCCGGATCAGAGCCGCGCCTCATCTTACCTGGTTATCTGGAATGAAATGGGTTATTATATCGGACACTACCTATACTACTTGATTCACCGTCCTATGTGCGCCTAAACAGCCGGTGGCTATTCGGAAACCGGTTGATTCATTCGAAGGATGTGCCGATGCCGGTGAACGATAATAAAGCAATTAGACCACAGGAACAGAAAGTACGTTGGTGTAAATTAGTGATGTCTAGAAACCGTTAACTTACGTCGATTAGGTACTCGCAGTCTGTTAGACAAGCCCAGGTTACGGTTGTATCTGAGACCAAGTTCCATTTATTCAATCCAGACAAAGTATGTAGTGGTTTCAGTGAGTGAATGCCTTGACCGATGAAATCGTTGCTGCTCCCTTGCGATATTTGTTTCAAAGACTGAAAAATCATGTTTTGTTTGCGAGAAACCGGCCTCTTATTCAGTCGATATGTTATCATCTAGCAGCATGATTTTACCAAGATAATTGCAACATCAGCTCCTTTGACGATCCCTATATTGGCAGTAACCTGGTATAGATGCTACCTCAACTTACGGTGATAACTGCGCACAGAATACTCAAATAGTAATCTGCCAGACAAATGATTCTTCGTCATTTTGCATTTTGATACTTCAAAGACTTGCAAAAGTCCCGGATCTTAGCTGACCTCATTGTTATGACCCGAGGATAAGTTGTTTCTACCTGCGTTTCTCCAAGTCTTAAGATCGATCCAAGTAAGCCAAGTTTTTAATTTAACTCGAAAATCTTTATGCATCCAGGGTGTGTATATTCAGCCGTTACACACATGCTTTCGCCATTGTAAAGGGAATCCAGAGCAAAAGGAACAAGCAGCAAGAACAGCGACATTAGTACAATGTACATTTGCTTGTAAGCTCTATAACGGCTGAGGTCTGGTTGCACAAAAAGTACGCCAAATATGGGATTACGGAGGAGCGGTAAACCCTTGTAGGGGAAAAACGGAGCTGTACTTTAATCTAATTGAGGAAATTGATACACAGTCAGACACTGCACCATGACAGAGGTGACTTGCATCAGCGAGTATTTTTGAAGTCAGCCATTTGTATGAACTGGATTGAGCATACGTAATAGTGTCAAAGAAGGTCGGTCTTAAAATACCGCTACATGGCGACAGTTGTGTCAATGACCTATGTTGGCTTTTGAAATGCTTCTTTAGAAAACCAGGGAAAATCACGAATTCGGCCTAGTTGAATGGGAGCTCATCTTCTAGACTTGGTGAATTGGCAAATGTTTGGTTTCAGTTACACTATCTTCCACATGTTCGTTGAATTATCAGGTTAATCGTAAGTTCTCATGAAGTTGGGGAACCTCCATAGTACACAAACTGTTTGATTGATACTTCGTTTGCGTGCCCAATGCACATACTTAACATTCCCTCAACTGGCACGCTAGTTGAGACGTACGCCTTGAGTAGAATCGGAAATTTCTCTTCAAAAATGCTTTCAGTTTATTTGGACAGTGAAGACTGCTAGGTAATCGGCTGATAATAGATTTCTTTTGAGGTGGCTTTAAACACTTGGTAACACCACCCATTGAGTTGCTGCAAAGTTTCCCAGGAAACTTAACCACATCGTATATTACCTCTCGAAATGAGAGCGCTCATAGAGGTTGCATCAAATGGCCATTTTAAACAGCCAACTTCGATTCCGACCGCTGTAGACAGTTGCGAAACTTTGCTTTTATTGCTATCTGCGTTAGACGGCTCAAAATGGGTGAAAAGCGATGATATCTGGCTCCTACTGTCGGATTTTGGAGCGTTCTGGAGTTTTGCCATATCCAATGCAATTAACTTCATTTTAGTCTGGTAGCTGGCTCCAAATCTACAAATTAGCCGCAGTACCGATGTCAACTCCCGCAGTCTGAAGCATTAGCATAACCGATCTACTCCATCTAGTCTGTTATCTTTGCGCGCACAGTTTGATGGAGACGGGCAAGATTCGGGTCATCTTCAGTAGAAACTCAGCAACTACCTATATATCTTTTAAATCGTTTCTTGATTACAACCACATCTACAAGTAAAATTGACCTGTACCGAAAGACCTGTTTGAGATGGAAGAGGACACGGTGCAGGCACAATGCCCATTTTCAGTAGCGTGCGTTGTTCTTTCATAATCAGACACAAAACTTCCGCACCACTTCTACTGTCGACGGACAATGGTCATGAATTGAATTAAACACCGGCAGCCAAGGCGCCTGAGTGATTCATCGTGAGATAATGTATCACATCCACTACAGAACACAGGAGTTGTTAAATGTGCTAGTTTTACTACTAAATCATCAAATCGTTTGTAAGGGATGAACACGCTGCTCTAAAAGGAGAATAGTTCAGGTCAGCATTTGGGCAACTAAGTGGACGAGGGAAGTCGCTGTTAAGCTAAATTGCGGTTTCATTGGTTATCTATCAACGTTCTTTTGATATTTTCGCATCGAGAAAATTCTGCGAAATTAGATTCGATGACAAGAAGGAAATTTGAGTATCTGTACTGGGTGACTGCATCTCCAGCTCTCGGTCAAAACCCGAGTTGTGCCCTGGTATCTAAGTATTTCCATTATTTGGTTGGCAAATATTAATAATACTGGCGCATTTTAGCTTGCCGTTTGTACGATATACATTTGAATAACGTCCGCTTGAGTACATTATGACTTTTACTCCCAATAGATTTAGCAAAGGAGGTCTGTCATGTCAAACAGCACCATCGTCAAACATTTTAAAATTTAAATGATAATACCACGGCTGTTTTCATACAGGCATGAGACAATCTTACACGGGCCTAGGTTATGTCATACAATCGGCCCATGCAAACCAGTACTGGTGCGCATTCAAATTGCAAAATCGTTACTAAACCACCTGAATTTGCCCCGCCGATAATACCTTGTTTGTTAAATATACTAAACCTGAAAAGGTTTAGTAAGAAGCGGAGCTCAATTTCCTGATAGTATATGCGTAATTCGCTCCATCTACGCTGCACACCAAAGGAACTCAATCCAATTATTTGGCGGATGCCATGTCGGGGTTCACTTAACTGCATGTGTGCTCCGACTGTAGCAAGCCACTTTGCATTCGACCCTGAGCAGCTCAATCAGGTAAACCCCACCAGAGATTAGGACATTTTCTCTCATTTGCCTTTACCGCTGAACGCAATGTTTCATCTGATCTTAGGTAAGAACATGCTAATCTGAAATTCAAGGTGTTAAACAGCTTTTTACAATTATGGGGACTCGAACATTCGTTG